ATATATATATATATATATATATATATATATATATATATATATATATGTTTCAGCATTCTGCCAGACCCAGATGGTTCCTATATCCACAACAGTTCCAAAGCAGCTACCACAAGTGCTCCAGTCTGATTTCACAGACTTCCATCAAGCTAGACCTGAACTTTCCCTCATAGCCATAGGTTTTCTTACAGACCCTGGACAGCATCAGAACAGCCTCTTCTTCCTGGACTTGGCCAGCATTTCGGCCTTTTAACCTCTCTACAGCACCCCCAGTCAGCAGGAAGTAGCCAGAAGAGAATCTACACCTATTATTCACTTAATACTAACAAAAGGCTGGAATGGTGTGCTTCAGGCCCAGGACAAGCAGCTCCAGGTTCTCCCTGCATCCCTCAGTTCCGACCTGCTGCCTTGTGTAGCTGGCAACTCTCTACGGGCAACCCTCTACCCTGAACTTTCCAGGGCAGGGGCTTCCCCTCCTCCCCTTGACCATGTAATCTGGCCATTTTGTTGCTGTTTTCTCTCTCTCTTAATCCTTTGCATGGCAACCAAAAGGTGCGTCCAATGTACCTAAATTTATACACTTTAACTCGTCTTACATGAGAAGCAGCCCAGTTCCTCATTTTTTTTTAATTATAGAAAAAGGGAAGAATATTAGTATTTAGGTATCTGCTTCTGGGTTGCCTAGTAACCTATGCTGTCATCGTGTGTCGCCGGTCAAGTAGCCCTGGCAGGTGTGGTTACGTTGCTCTTTAAAAAGATCAACCCACCTCTCTTGGCTCTCTTGCCTCTTAGCTCTTGCCCTCTCCCCTTTCTCTGTTGGGCCACCTCCCCCTATTCCTCCTATCATGTCTTCTCTCTCCTTCTCCCTCTCTCTTCATCTCCATCTAATAAACCTCTTTCATATAAAATCTGCTGTGTGCATCATTATTATTTAATTTGGTCCTAACAGGTAACTTACCCCTGGCCTATGCTCCTCTAAGTAACCTAGTTAAACTCAATGGTTCATTAAGTTATACTTGGATGGAAACATTGGTGGGGGGTTCTACTTAGTGTCCTATCTGGGTGAAGAGATACTTGTTCACATCTGCTCAGGCAAAGCTCATGCAATAGTTCCTACCAAGAGATGAACAGGTCTGGCACTGCCAGAACTGAAGATATGTTCTTTTTCCACCCATATTTTCTATCCACTGGAGCTGAAGAACCCATCCAGCTGACTCTTAATATTCCCATTAAGGGAACTATACCGTATGGAATTATGACCCCGTAAAATTGGGAGGCAACATTACAGAACAGTCAGAAACATCTCTCATAGCTTCCCAGCCCAAAGCAAGGCACACTGTCATCACTTACCAAACCCCATGAGAATGAAAGAGCCAACCAACATGATAAAAGTCTGGATAGAATCTGTGTAGATCACTGAGGCCAGGCCCCCTGTGGAGAGAAAAGAATAGGCCAGGATGTTTTATCCATGAACACTGATTCCTCTGTCTTCAGCTCTGGGCTCTTCTCTATTCCAAACATAGAAACGAGTCAATATAACATAGCTCCCATGTGAGCCACAGCTTCTCTTGACACCAGTTTCTCCTCAGTGTTCATTGATGCATTTAATTCATTTCCTCTTTCTCCTGTCTTACTGAGATGCAAAGTTCTGTGAATTATGGTGTCGTTCCATCTTGGTAAGTTTTGAATATAAAATAAGAGGATAGTGAAGATTTTATGCCCTAAAAGTTTATCAGAATAATCTGCTCAATTACCCCTTTGGAGGTTAGTATGTCCTGTCTCAAACAAACCTTATTTATTTGGGACACATCACTGTTTTATTAGCATGAGTCCAGAGATAATTACTGACTTGTGTGTTGTACTAATGTTGTGTACAAGACAAATCCTCTTTAAATTCTAGACTCACTGGATTTTCCACCCAAAGGTGTTTCCTTCTAGGGAGTATGATAAGGAAAGAAGAATGATGTAAGGAATCAGAGGTCAGACCCCTATCACTCGTGAATCTGAAATTGTGTTCAATGCACAATAGTTACTTCAGATTATCTTAATTGTTCCACTATTTTTTCCCCAATTCACTGGGTATGAACTATACCAGCTGATTTAAAATAGATGCAAATGAGTTTAATTTAGTATGCAAGAGATACTAGATCAACATCAAAGGTTCATGGGAGCCTGCTTGGATCGTTGCCACCCACCTTTCACAATCAACCCCTCCCTGCAGTTCTCCCATTTCAGTTGTGAACACTCATGGCTCAGTTCAGTGAGTCAACGTTTTATGTCAGTTTAGCGTCACATTGTATTTCCCAGTCTTGGGTTGGAGCCGCCCCTTTGGTCAAGCCTTCTACATATTCCCTCAGCATAATTGAAAGTGGTGATTTGGGTACCAAACACAGAGCTTGAGTGAAACCGTAACTTCCCCAATCCATCTTTTCTTGAATCCAGTTACAATCACTCTGTTGTGTTTGTTCTCGTTGCTGATCTGGCCCTGTGCTTTACTCCCATGGGGGCAACAGAATGGTATCTTGATTTGGCAATCACAAGGCTAATCCTGAGGTCACTAATCAAGGGGTGGAGTGGGGATTTGATAAACAGAACACATTACAAATGAATATGCCAAGCTGCAGACTCACCGGTAACTGTGTAAACTGCAGTGATAGCCAAGAGGATGAAGATTGCCAGGTAAATATCTAATCCTAAGGCCAATTGAATGAATATGGCTCCGGAAAATATGTTTGACTAGAAAAAGCAACAGTCAGGATAAGAAAGAAAATTATTTCAGACATCTCCTTTTTGTATTCCAAAATCTACTTGTGCTTTCCTGATAGCTTTGCGTTATTATGTTGAGAGACCACTTATATGTTCCAACAACAATATCCCTGCAAGCCATCCAGCAAGTTTTACTCTCTCTTCTGCATGCTGAGAGTTCGTACTCAATCAAAACATGAAATTAAGTAGAAGACCCCCCAAACTTTTTCTTGTGTTTTGAGGCTCAGCAATTACTTATACAGTCTCTTGAGCAGAGGTCTTCAAATAATATATTATTAACATTGGAAATGAAAAGTTTGTAATTGTAAGATTTTTTTTCACATATAGGGTTGGGTCTGCTTCAGAACAACTACTAGCAGGAATTTGTTTCTCTGCTATGGAAATATTTTAATTTCAGTGATATATTTCATCGTAGACTTCTTGAAAGCATTCACAACTACACTGTTCCTAAACTATCCATGAAGCAGGTGTTGTTCTTATGATCAGCTTGAAGCCAAGGAAACTGAAGCTCAGAATATTTGGCTTATGTCACCCAGACAGGCAGTTGTCAGCTATAGTTTTGAGCCTGTATGATGTTCCTCCAAATCCCAGACTACTCTTAGAACCTTCATGAACTACTACATTAGACAGGAATAATTTAATGTCAAACCAACAAAAAAGATAATACTATGAGTTAAAAATGCAAGACATGGGAATGAATTGACGTCGGCCCTAATAATGATAGAAAGATCTGGAAAGGAGAGATGGTGACCTTTATGTGGAATGTGGGAATTAGACTGTTCACATTGCCAACATATATTAGCTGGGAAGCAAAGAATCAATTTTAAATGTGAAGATAAAGCTAGTCAAAATTTCTTCTAATTTGTATGAGGGTGTTCCATCTTCAGTTCTGAACAAAGTCAAAATAGCCTATGTAAAATTCTCAAGTTAAATCACACAACTCATCTTGACAATAGGGTTTTCACTGAGAAAGTAGAATAAATTGTAATAAAATAATCAGCACTACATTTGATATGCACATTAGTCTTGTACATGTAAAAGAGAAAATTTATAAGAAATCTTGAGTTGGGGCTTAGTTTTTCTTATGATATGGTTGAGGCAATTATAAAAACATTTTTTTGTGTATTATAAAAGTGGTCAAACACATGATGGCGTGGTTTGCCGGACTTCTCAGTTATGAAAAGAAGGAACAAACACACATGTATGAAGTTGGGGAAGGCAGAACCCTCTTCACAAACTGACTGTCATTAAAGGTGTTAGTATGACTCCTGGCTAAGGATGTAGATGACACACCTCCTCTATATGATCAGTTCAAAAGGAAGAGTTAGGATGAAAAAGAACAGGTTATTCCCAAGGCCAGACAGAAAAGAGGGAAAAGTCACAGAGGGAGTGAATGGTAGGACAGTGAAAAACAGAGAAACAAGCTGATTCATTGAGAAACAAGCCACACAGAGCTTACTTTTCCCCAGGAGGGGAAGGATGAGCAAAAGCCAAATCCAAAAGGGATGTCAGGCAGCCTTGGAGAAAAGAAGATGCTATTGCCCACAGGACAAGTCTCAGCTTTCACAGTGACTCCTGTGGTAGGATGTGTCAGTGTGGAGAAGAATTCTCTGTCACTTCCCATGACTAAAAGGAGTGTGACCATGTGCCTCCTGCAGAGGGAGCCTGTTGTCCAATATTGAGCTATCCTCAAGGCTTGAGAACAAGTAAGGAGCCTGAGTTCAACCTGTCTCAGCCCCAAATTCAGAAGTGGCATGGGATGCAGTTGTGGGCACTTATTCAATTGTATATAAAATTGAGATTATGGTATTTCCAGGAAAATGGAACCATAAAAAAGCAAGGCTAAGGATATATATAAAAGAAAGTTATATGGAGACCTGTTTCTAGGATAATCAAGAAGTTCAGAGGATCAAGTTAAAGAGAGAACATCAGGTCTTGAAGACAAGGTAGAGAAATTGGACACTCAGTTAAAGATGATGTTAAATTAAAAAAAAGGCAATAATTGCCTGCCAGCTATTAAATGGTTCTGAATATATGAAGGTTTATAATTTTTAAAGATATAATCATACCAAGTTTGCAGAATAGATAGGTATCTCAGTGTTCATGACAGAAGGCTTACCTTCGCTGTTGCTTTTCTGCTGAGCTAAATCACCCTTTTTCTCTACCTTCATATCCTAGGTGTCTCCACAAGCAGTCTAAGTTAAGGATACAAATCAAAAATTAAGAGAAAGGACATGTGACATTTGTCTTTCTGGACTTTGGTTACCCCATTCATTGTATTTTATGGTTCCATTTTTCTGAACAAGAACAGAAAATATGTGAACTCTATAACTCTATAAAAGACCATGCTCATGAATAATAAGTAAATAAAAAGGAGAAGAGACCCAGGTCAAAGACACAGAAGATATTTTCTACAAATTACAGAAGAACATTTTTCAAATCTAAAGAAATCTAAAGAGTTCTAAAAATCTAAAAATCTTAGATTTTTTAAATATAAAGAAAGTGATATGTATTAAGGTCCAAAACTCGTACAGAACACCAAATAGATGGGAGTAGAAAAGAAACTTCCCATGTCATATAATAGTCAAAAGACTAAATGTATAAGAGCAAAGAAAGGATAATGAGAGCAGCAAGAGAAAAAGACCAAATTGTGTATGCAGTCACACACACACACACACACACACAAAACCAAAACCAAAACCAAACTGGAAAGGCATTATACCATGCCTAACTCCTCTGGTTATATAGTTCGTCTCCAACCTTATGAAGGCCACTGTCAAAAGAAAGATGGCCACATGATGTTATGTAATATAAAACCCTAAAGCAAGATGATGGTTTTTTGACCCTGGAAGGAAGGATCTGAGCATCAAATGGAGAGTGTGGTAATGGCTCTTCTAGAAAAAGAGAGAACATAATTTGGGTAAATCATATAAGTGTAAATTCTTGTAGACTCAGGGTCATAGACCTACAGCCATAAGGGTACCCAATGAGAATGTACATTGTCACATATGGGAGATAAAAGAGCTAAAAGCATACACCAAGGCAAAGCCTTCTGTGCTCTGAGCTCAGCCTCTGGTTGTGAAACCACTGAACCAGGAGCACAAGCATAAGTTTTTCCAGACAGAAGGCTTAGAGGTACTGTGTCTATGTTTGAGAATCTATTACACTACCCCCCCAAGGCTGACCTAAAATTACATTCAGAACGGACCATCAGTAGGTACATGGAAACATTCAGATTGAAAAACTCATGTCTTAGTTGTAATAATGACTTAGCTCAGTAGAAAAGCAACAGTGAAGGTAAACCTTTCTCTCATGAACCTTGAGACACCTATCTGGTCTGTAAATATGGTACAATTATATCTTTAGACACAAATACATACTAACAAATAAATGACTTTTTTCATATTTTCTACCCTTGATGCTGAAACTTTAATTTTTCCTCTATTAGTAGTTTCCAAGGCATGTAATTTTTTAAAACATCTTTTAACTTTTTCAATTAAAAATGTTTTTTTTCAACATTTAATTATCATGATATCTATTTTAAAGAGGTAGTTTTACGATCCTGTACAACAACAGATCATCTGGAGGTATCTCCATCCCCGACCTCAAGCTGTACTACAGAGCAATAGTAATAAAAACTGCATGGTACTGGCATAGAAACAGAATGGAGGATCAATGGAACCAAATAGAAGACCCAGAAATAAACTCACACACCTATGAACACTTGATTTTTGACAAAGAAGCCAAAACCATTCAATGGAAAAAAGACAGCATCTTCAACAAATGGTGCTGGTCCAACTGGATGTCTACATGCAGAAAAGTGAAAATAGATCCATATTTATCCCTGCACAGAACTAAATGCCAAGTGGATCAAAGACTTCAACATAAAACCAGATACTCTAAATCGGTTAGAAGAGAAAGTGGGGAAGAGCCTAGAACTCATTGGCACAGGAGACAACTTCCTGAACAGAACACCAACAGCACAGGCTCTACGAGCAACAATCAATAAATGGGACCTCATGAAACTGAAAATCTTCTGTAAAACAAAGGACACTGTTGTCAGAACAAAATGACTACCTACAGATTGGGAAAGGATCTTCACCAACCCTATATCTGACAGAGGGCTGATATCCAGAATATATAAAGAACTAAAGAAGTTAAAAAGCAATAAATCAAGGAATCCAATTAAAAAATGGGGTACGGAGCTAAACAGAGAATTCTCTGTAGAGGAATATAGAATGGTAAGAAACACTTAAAGAGATGCTTAACATCCTTAGCCATCAGAGAGATGCAAATCCAAACGACCCTGAGATTTCACCTGACACCCATCAAAACGGCTAAAATAAAAAAAAAAAAACTCAAATGACAACACATGCTGGAGAGGATGTGGAGAAAGGGGAACCCTCCTCCATTGCTGGTGGGAATGTAAACTGGTACAACCACTTTGGAAATCAATCTGGTGCTTTCTCAGACAATTAGGAATAGTGCTTCCTCAAGACCCAGCTATACCACGTTTAGGTATATATCCAAAAGTTGCTCAAGAACACAACAAGGACATTAGCTCAACTATGTTTGTAACAGCTTTGTTTGTAATAGCCAGAACCTGGAAACAACCCAGATGTCCATTAACGGAGGAATGGATACAAAAATTGTGGTATTTTTACACAATGGAATACTACTTAGCAATTAAAAACGAGGAAATCATGAAATTTGCAGGCAAATGGTGGGATCTAGAAAAGATCATTGTGAGTGAGGTATCCCAGAAGGAGAAAGACAAACATGGCATATACTCACTAATACAGACCTATTAGATATGATAAACATAATGAAATCTATACACCTAAAGAAGATAAACAAGAAAGAGGACCCAGGGTAAGATGATCAAACCTCACTTAGAAAGACAAATGGGATGGGCATTGGATGTAGGAGAAAACAAGTAACAGGACAGGAGCCTACCACAGAGGGCCTCTGAAAGACTACCTAGCAGTGTATCAAAGCAGATACTAAGACTCATAACCAAACCTTAGGCAGAATGCAGGGGATCATATGAAAGAAGGGGAGTTAGTATGATGTGGAAAGGATAGGAGCTCCACAAGGACAAAATATATCAGGGCACAGGAGTCTTATATGAGACTGTTTCTCCAACCAAGGACCATGTATGGATATAACCTAGAACCTAGTATTGAAAACTGTTTCTGTGTGCCTTGTGAATAAGGAACGAGTGAATCCACAGGCATTTTTTTTTCACATTCTCTTGAGCCATTCTGCAGCCATTTTGATCTTTATGTTTTCATAGAAATATCTGCTCAGATGTAGCCCGTGGTAGCTCAGTAACCAGGTGGGTTATCTTAGTAAGGGGAACAGGGACTATTTCTGACATGAACTCAATGGCAGGCTCTTTGACCTCCCCACCCCCAAGGGAGGAGCAGCCCTGCTAGGCCACAGAGGAGGACTTTGCAGCCAGTCCTGAAGATACCTGATAAAACAAGGTCAGATGAACGGGGAGGAGGTCCTCCCCTATCAGTGGACTTGGAAAGGGGCAGGAAGCAGATGAGGGAAGATGGGGTTGGGAGGGAATGAGGGAGCGGGATACAACTGGGATACAGAGTTAATAAAATGTAATTAATAATAAAAACAAAAATAAAAAAGGAAAAAAATAAAGAGGTAGTTTTAAACAAAATAAAAGGCAATTAAAGAAACTCAGTGTAATAATATAAAGTGCTTCCCTTCTGGTTCATGTGGTTAGTAGTCAAACTGATAATAAAAATATTAACCTGGACTAACTCTGAGAAAGAATGAAAGGGTGACTGTTGAAAAAATAAAGATCAAAATGGCTGCAGAATGGCTCAAGAGAATGTGAAAAAAAAATGCCTGTGGATGCACTCATTCCTTATTCACAAGGCACACAGAAACAGTTTTCAATACTTTATAAATATTCAGTTGGCCCCGAAAGATTCCAGAATTCTCAATCTTCCCCTGGCACAGGCATTTTGATAGATCTGCAAACTTTGTGACCACTCTGATTCCTGTCAGTTTTCCACAACTGCCACTCAGTCCTCACTTGTCTCCAAAGAATGATGAACCACACATTGCCTCTTGGTCTTCTTGTTAGTCAGCCATGCTCCCCTTCATAGAACATTTATTTAGTTCCAAACCAAAGTCATTTCTACTGATCAAACAGACTTGGTACTTAGTAAGATTGTCATTGCTTTTAATGTGTTTTGTAAGTTTTAGTTCACATTGTACATGTGAAAGAGGAGGCCATGAGATGGGTCCTTTCTATTTCTGAATAGTTGTTGCTTAAAGAGAAGTTTTAATATATACTTACAATATAATATAATATAATATAATATAATATAATATAATATAATATAATATAATATAATATAATATAATATAATATAATATAATATAATATAATATAATATGAAATATTATATTATATAATATATAAAATATACTATTATGCTTACATAATATTTAATTATATTGTTTAAACCTCTAGTGTATTAAATATAGTTAACATTGAATATATAATGTATTATAATTATGTATATTATAAATATACACATCCAATTTTTATATCCTTAACGAGAGAGCAGATTTGCACCCCAAAGGCTTGTAGGATTTGATGGTTTATAACTTTATGGATACATAATCTCTGAGTTCTCCTGTATCTCACTGATGCTGTGTAGAAAAATCTCAAGAAAGCTAAAGATCCAGGCTGCTGAGGACCTTATCCCTCTAATCTTATCAAGCAGTAGTTGATAGCTAATATGTCAGGAGGTTCTGAACTCACAGAGATTTTGATGGCCAACATGAGGAAGAGGGAGAGGATGGAGAAATAGATCTGGAGTCTCTTCCCACCAAACCGCTTCCTGAGATATTCTGGCATGGTCATCACCTGCAGAGAGAGACAGCAACAGGGATTCACCTTCAAGCCTGCATCTGCTAAACACCCATGAGCAGTTAATTACTATGCAGGGCATCTTGGGAATAGCCAAGTGGGGAAGGTGGGGAAGGCAGGAATGATCATGGGGCCTTGAGGTAGATCAATTTAGGATTGATTCCTGACATTTACTAGATATTGTGACCTTTGGAAAATAGTTTTAAATCTCTTTTATTATCTGTGACTCGTGTGTGTGTGTGTGTGTGTGTGTGTGTGCGCGCGCGTGTGTGTGTGCGCGCACGCGTGCTATCTTGATCTCTCTCATATCACAATGTATCCCAGAGTGGTCTTGAACTCACAATTTTTCTGCCTCCATTTTATGAAACCTGGTGTTTTAGGTATATACCACCATGGTCACCTGCAGTGTGGGTTTAAATGCATGTAGATATTAAGTACCTACAACACCAAATGCTGTATAGCTACAGAATGAACAATTTGTGTTATTTTCACTAGTGCTGCTGTGCATTTAAAAGCAATACTTCTTGTAAGCAATGAACCACAATTATGGGTAAACAAATTGTTGATTGAATGGATTGCAAATATTTATCTCTGTAAATATTCACACGATTACCTTTTTAAAGATGCGTTTATTTTAATATGTGTATTGGTGTTTTAACTGCATGTATGTCTGTGTGAGGGTGTTAGATCCTTTGGAACTGGAGTTATGCACAGTTGTGGGTTGTCATGTTGTTGCTGGGAATTGAATCCAGGTCCTCTGGAAGAACAGCCAGTGCTCTTAGCCACCGAGTTCGCTCTCCAGCACTGATTATCTTTTTTAAAAGAAAAGAATTGCACAAAATGTCTTCTTGAGGAAATGCCCATAGTGTTTATTACTGAAGTATGAAATTGAATATATCATCTTGTATCACATTAATAGCATGGGATAAAGATATAATCCAACATTAAAAGAAAAACAGAACCTAAAAATAAGCAAGATTTGCAAGCCCAGCACAGAAAGAATGAGGAAAAGATCTACATGGTGGTCTTACCATTGCTTGATGTCGAGATTTGCACAGATAAAACCAAGTCATGTGCTGTCCATGAGAATGAAAGGAAGATACAATATTACTGCAGAAATCCTTGAAGCCAGCTCTCTTGTCAGGCTCAGAAGCCTATGAGGACAGAGTGCTTTCAGGGGATGGACATTGGATGCTCACTAGAGGACAGATGCCAAAGGCCATTTTCCGCTTCTGATCCGCACAGCGCTGTACAGTGCTTGACAGTCTGAGAGTGCTCAAGTGGAGCCAAGCATAGCTCATGTCTTTAATCTCAAGAGAGCAAGCAGTGTACCTAAATAACATCCACCTGACCCTAATTATGAAGCATAAAGAAGCAAAGGACAAGGGAATCATGAAAATTGACACCATAATTTCAAATGAGAGGCTGAGAGTATAGACACAGGCTTGCCACCAGGTTGAAGGTGCCACAGCGTCAGCACTAGAACAGTGTGTATTGGAACTGTGGGAGCTAAACTCTAGCCAGCATCCTAAAACAGAAAAAAAAAAAAAAAGGAATTGACACTATGTGCCTAAGCTGTAGGCACTTAGACCCTAAGTCCTAAGAGATACATAAAAACCAAGCCCAGAAAAGCTGTAGAATGCACCACCAAGCCCAGAATGCTAATGTTTGCATTCCTTTGTGGCTCACCACCAACCACAGACCTACTGTCTTCCAACCCTCTCTTCTGCAGCCACCACACTTATTCAGACTCAGGCAGCCTACATCTGCTCTCCCTTTTCTCTGCCATTCTGGTCTCTCTAGGGTACTCCCAGAGCAGCCACTGCTGCCCTCCTCATCTCCATACCTTGGGATCCTCCGCCCACACAGAATGAACCTGCTGCTCTTGTAGTTCTCGGTTGCCCTGCTCTCCTCTACCATCCTCCCAGACCATCTCAATTTCTTTGTGACTCCCCTGTTTTGTTCCATGAAATCCATAGCCACCACACTTGGCAAGAGACCCAGACCCAGATAGGCTTCCTTTCTCTCTTCCACTCTAGTCTCTCCAGGATATTCCTAATCCTTCCAACTAATCTCCTCTGTCCAGACCATCTCCATCTTCTTGGGATTCACTGACATCTATTGCTGGACCCAGGGTACCTCTAGTTCTACCTCTGCTGCCCTTCATGGAGCCCTTTCCCTCCTCTTTCTTTTCTTTTATATTAAAACATTTATTTATTCATTTTACACCCCAATCATAGCCCTCTCCCTCCTCTTTTCCTGGTCCCACCCTCCCTCTCTGTTTCCCCTACTCTCCCTCCCCTACTCCTTGGAAAAAGTGAGCCCCCTGCACTCACCCACCCCAGCATATAAAGCCCATCTTCTTCTCCTGTGGCCAGGTAAGGTAGCCCCACCAGGGGAAAGTGATTGTAAAGCAGGCAACAGAGTCCATGTCAGAGTCATCCCCCATTCACCTTACTAGGGAACCTATATGAAGAATGAGCTGCCCACTGGCTATATCTGTGTAAGGGGCCTAGGTCCAGTCCATGCATGGTTCTTGGTTGGTGCTTCAGTCTCCATAGCTCTCCCCACCTGGGCCCTGGTTAGTTGGCTGCATTGGTCTTCTTGTAGAGCTTCTATCTTCTCTGGGTGCTTCTATCCTTCCACGAGACCCCTTGTGCTCCACCCAATGATTGGTTGTGGTTCTCTGCATGTTTTCATCCCCTTCCCTTTCTTGCTTGACCTTCACATATACCACCCACTGCACTGATCTGTGACTGTTTAAACCCGACGACAACAAAACAAGTGACAGCTCATGCTGGTGAGAATGTGGGGTAAGGGGGACACATATTCATGGCTGGTGAGAGTTCGAACTTATACAGACACTATGGAAATTGGTGTGATGGTTCCCAAGGAAGCTTGGAATAGGTCTATCTCAAGGTCCGGCTATATCACTCTTGAGCATATACTCCAAAGATTCTACAACCTTACTCAGAGATTCTTGCTTATCAAGTTTACTGATGCTCTGTTCATAATAGCCAGAAATTGGAAACACCTTAGATATCCATCAAATGATGAATGGATAACGACAATGTGTTATATTTACACAATGGAAAATTATTGAGCTTTTAAGAAAAATGAAATTTGCAGATAAATGAATGCAGCTAGAAAAAAAATCATTCCGATTGAGGTAATTCAGACCCCAAAACACGATTTTTTTTTAAAATAATGATGGTAGCTTTTCAAGCTTTTGAAACACGTGCTACAATCCAAATAATTACAGGGGTTACGTACCTGGTAAAGAATTTGGGGAGGGAGTATTTTTTAAGGAAGGGGAAATAGAATGTATTGTTATGAAGAGAAAAGGGGGAAACTAGAATAGGATTAACTAGGGAGGGAAATGGTAAAGAAGGGAAAGGATGGAACATGGGGAGGAAAAACTAACACTAAAGGCCATGAACAATATGTGTAAACCTAGTACTGTAGAAATTTCACAAAATATGTACATATATGAATGTAATCTAAATAGAGTACCAAATAATAAGGAGGACAATGCCCCAACTAGATATGCCACCAAGCAAAACCTCCAGTGCCAGGAATGAATTATATCTTGTTGAGTCATTGACAAGGGGGTCCCATATAAGCCCCCTAATACCATAAGCTATTGCCAAGGCCATTGGTTATTTTCTAAAACCCGGTTGTATGCCTTATTTCTGAAGACAACATTTATTTATGTCATTGAACATAGAAAAGTCAAGTTGGTGCTTAACCAGAAGCTCACCCCTACTGACTAATAACCATGGTATGGCAGGTACTCTGCATGTTGCTGGAGAAGAAAGATAATCACCAAAATTACCTAGCTACAAATCCTATTATTTACAACAGTGACCCACTTGCAATATATACTGGTATAATAGTGACACAAAGGTTATGGGAGTAACCAACCACATTGTGGTCAAATTTAAGGCTCACTCCATGAATTGGAGTCCATAGCACTATAGTGCTAAAGGGGTCAATAATCTGACTAGATAGGAAACAGGCCTAGGGGAAACCCCAATACTATTATTCTGCTAAAGGATATAGCAATAAAATGACTCCTAATGACATATTGCTATACCCTTAGATCAGTACCTCACCCAACTCACATTAGAGAAGCTTTAAACTTATAAACTTTCCTCTTAGAACTGTTTTTCTTGTCTACCAAAGTCCTAACTAGACATCATATCCTACCAAATTGTGGAGAGCTGCTTGTTTGTCGGGATGCTTTGTTATAGAGCTCTTAGCAAAAACCATGTTTTCACCCTGGCCTTCACCTGGAGACAGGAATAGACAGGATGTTTTGCCAAATTCACTTTCTTTTGTTTGTGTGAGGATCATACAGACAGGTGGTCAAGGCAAACAAGTTCGACTTTTTGATGAACTTCATTGTATTGAAGAGCTTTGCTCTGACTATAAAAAGGGACTATGGAATAAACTGGTGCCTAGTTTCTACTGGAAGCCCTCTTGAACAGATCCCATGTGTGGTGTCTTGGTTGTTTTTCTCTTTTTCTTTCAGTCCTCACTCCCCATTCAAGAACTGTTTGACTCTGCCAGCAGGCTCTGGCAGTTTGGGTGGGCTCTGGCAGCTTGGTGTCTGAACAGGGACCTTGAGATACAGGGAAGCAGTGGAGGACACTGGGGGTGTTGGCGAGCTCGGATCATAAAGTAAAGAGAGAAGGGTATGGTGACTAAAATTTGAGATTAAAAATGGGACAAGGCAGTAGACTTGTGTTTTTTGTATGGCATTTAGTTAGAAATAGTCTGTATATGCAGCACAGGACTGAGAAAGTAAAATTTTTGGGGTTAGAGAGAAAGAGAAAAAAAAAGATGAAAGATTTCGGGACAAAATGAGGTTAAACCATCAGCTTCTCCAGAAGAGTTATATATCCTTCCTTATGATAATAATTTCTTGTTAGAAGAAGGCTTAGAGGGTGACTTAGATCCTGATGAGGTTGCAGAGTTAGAGGAAGAACAAACTA